ATGTTATGACTTGGTCTAAGATATTTTTGTCCATTCTTATTGGCTTATAACTTAGCGAACCGGTTTCTTTGAATAAAATATTTGCACGCGAAAAAGAGAAAACGTTCAGCGAAGAGACTCTTTTCGGAGAATTCATTCACATAGCTGTACAATCTCATGTATATATAATTATTTGTGTGTGTGTGTGTACATGAGGTTTGCCAGGTTTAGGTAATTAATAAGGTAATACAAGAATGATCTAATATAGAAACAAGGTTAATTAGACAGCAACTAAAGTAAGATTGAGTTAGTAAGTTAGATGACGTAATATAATTGACTAAAATGTTTCAACTTAGGTCAGGATAGCAACAGAGGTAACTACAAGTAGCAACGAAGTAGAGGTGGGGTAGGGAATAATGCCATCTAACTTAAGACTAAAATCAAGCAAATAAATTGGATGACGTAACATAAATGACTAGAAATTGAGTGTTGGTCAAGTCAGTAGCAGTAGCAATGAGGTGTATAAAAATAAATCGGATAGGGGAAGAGAACAGGAAATTTGAAAATGTAAAATATTACAGTTATACAGACAAAATAATACTGATGAAGAAACAGAAAGATATAGAATTTACCTGTCACGTATTAAGACAGATTACGTCCATTGCAAGTGTATTTATTGAACGATCCTCTTCTGTATGCAGAGTTCGGGACTTATCAAGTGAATCGCCATCGCTTCCGCAGTTTGAAGAAGTTTAACTCGTACACTTTTAGGAAGGCTGCTTCATATTCTCTAGACGACTTTGAAGTTTGTTTGGAGTGTAGCTTGGTGTCTGGAATCTATCAGATGTTCTAAGATAGAGCTGCGGGGAATCGTTTTTCTCCTTTGTAAGACCATGCTGGTAAGTGTTTGGTGATATGTTTGGATAGTGAAAGCTGAGTACGGCCGACATACCTGGCTCCGCGCGAGCAGGTGAATTGGTAGATATTTGCCTCCCCACGGATTCTGATTCTCACTTTGGACTGTCTTTGAGCATTGTTTGGTATGTGATTCATGCTGAAACATTTTCTGCTCCTCCCTTGCTGGGAATATTCTACTTGGTTCTAAGTACTTGTTCTCTACTAGAAATTTCTCTAGACTCTACAAGTTCCAAACGACAGTGCTGAATTTTGAGTTTTTGATGTAATTATAGTTGAATAGAGCTGCATAGACCTATCGACGAATAATCGTGATTTTTCTATCTTTGGAATGTGTTAATGACTGTGCGTATATCAAAGAAGTTTCCAACAGTCATACATTAGGACTCATGGAACAGTTCCCTGAGTTCAGACTATAACTAGTTGGTTTTGGTCATTACAATGAGGAATAGGAATGATGCAACACCGATACTAATGATATGGGGAATATTACCACCAATATAAAATCAAAAGATAAGAAATAATGCAATTATATAAACAAAATATGAAGGTTGTCTAAGCTCTTCAATATGATTATGAAGAATAAATTATCCCTGGAACACAACCAGTAAATTATTCTTTTATGGATTTCATACGTATACTGGGTATTATATTCTTTGATTTTTTTTTCCTCAACTTTGTGGATAATTATGTGACTAAATTTCAAAGCAATTTTCTAAACCACACCCGTTATTTTCAGTCGACTATAATTAAAACTTTTCACTCAATTTCGTTTGAATACTTTCAGTCAAAAAAGTTTTAAAAGCAAGCTACGCTCTTTTTCTATCTTTATGCAGTGAAAAGCGTAATAGAAATAAGTGTTCCTTTTTTTGTCGCTAATTTTTCTAAAGTGAATATTCCTTCTCACATAATAAAGAGACGAATGCAAAAAAAATTGGTATGTGTATTACCAGTATAACAACAGAAAGCAGTCTCCATTTGAATAGATAAAGCTGAACAACATGAAGCGTCTGGGCACAACTATGTTTTGAGAGCTGACAGAAAGCGTACTATTATTATTATTCCCTGAAGTTCCTAGTGGAACATAGGGCTTCATCAGCACATCTTCGTTTAAGCCCTTTTTCTGAATTCTTTTTCAATTGGCTCTATGATTGACCATTAACTTTCATCTCCTGGTCACACGATCTCCTCTGTGTTACCCATAAACCCCCACTCAACTCATTGTTTCCCATTCACCTTCCAGTCGAGGGCTGTTCTGGTACATGATATCACTCGAAAGCCTTCTCAAAGTGTGTCAAAGCCACCTCTATTTTATTTGGTCATCTCATATTCCGTATGCAGCCAGCGAAGGCATCTGTTGATAGACGTCTGCAACTGCCTGTTCAAAATGCTTGACGTGATCCTCAAGACAAGTTTCTAACCCATATAGAATAACTGACTGACTCAGTGCTGGTATTGAATATCCAAATTTTGTTGTTTATGCTGATTGGATAAGATTTATAAACTGATTTCCAAGTTAAGAAAGCCTGCTTAGCCTTTCCGAATCTGGTTTTGTCATCGCCATAGTTGATGGTTTTTCAAACTACTGATATATATGTGGTTTTAAGTTAGGTTAATAAGTAATATTCATCTTTCAGCTGAAGTAATACAATAGTAACAGTTTCACTTCCGTACATCAAAACATACTGTTTTGGCTACTGAAAGTGTACAGTTTGTTTTTTTAGTTTTGTCATAAAAGCATATTTCATGCAGTTATTGTTAATCTCTTTACTGTTTTCTTTAACCGAACTGTTCATTGTACTCACAGTAAAAAAGCTAGTATCATTTAGTCTAGAAGAAGATTCAATCTGTTAACTACTCCATAACTTGAGAAGAATCTTTTCTTATTCCTCTCAACATTTCCGCCTTTACATCTTCAGTAATAACGTCAGGTACAGTTAATTCTAGAACAGCATAAGAGGCAAAAGTAAAAGTGATTATCAAATTACTAGTTATTTTTAAAACTCCATTCTCTTGCGTTCCTGGTGAGACACAGACGATCTCTGACGAAATCTCAGCACGAATACAAGGGGCTCGTTTCGCATTTGTTAGTTTACGCCGACTCTGGCGTAGACGAGATGTTCGACTATCGACCAAAGGGCGGGTGTACTGCTCATCAGTCCGCTCCGTCCTCCTTTATGGTTGTGAGACCTGGCCACTGAGAGTGGAAGACATGAAAAGACTAGCTGCCTTTGATCATAGGTGCCTGCGTTCTATTTCCCGTGTGAAGTGGCATAATAAGGTGAGCAACATGGAGGTTAGGCGTAGAGTTCTAGGTAAACAGGGGAAATCAATCGACGAAGTCGTGAAGCTACAAAGACTGAGATGGTTGGGACATGTGTTACGTATACCAAGTCATCGCCTCCCTCGACGAGCAATGTTAGCGGATATAGGGTCAGGCTGGAAAAAAGCTAGCGGCGGTCAAACAAAAACTTGGCATCAGTCAATGAAATCCACAACAGTTGGTCTAAGCCACGTAGAAAGGTGTAGACTTCCAGGCTGGGGTCCTCGGGACGGTAAAAATCTATGGTTGGAAACAATTGGTGACATGGCTCAAAATCGTTCTCAGTGGCGTAGATGCATCCACTCCCTGTGACTTATGATCCTCAATGAAACTGTTTTGTATTTCTTTATTACTCCTTTGTCTCACACCTCTGCTCACTGTTTCTATTATGCTTTTCTTGTACTTTCTTCTCTTGCTTCGCGTGCTACACGGAATGTGGCGACTTGAACTTCCGCACATTTGTGCAAAGTTCTATGTCGAAAACAGACAGACAGACCTTCAAGCTTGAGCTCTGAAATTCCAGCAGAAGTAATATTTATGTTTAACGGGATGGGACTGTTAATCTCACGCTCAACCTCCCCTCTTTACAGAAGTAACAACCAGCTAAGCGAGATTTAGGAGTGCGTCGACTGGGGATAGAACCCTAGACCGCTTGGTTGGTTGGCTATTGCTCTAGCGCTGAACTACTAAGAACAAATAAATGGAGTGCAAATGTGAAATTGTATGTCTACTCACCAAACAAGGTAAAAAGATTTAGTAATCCCAAATATATGAAAGCAGAGATCACATATTTGGTTGCCACATCCTCTTTGAACACTTTACCACATCAATCCGGTTTGAAATTTATATAAGACCTATCTTGCTGCAGTGCAATAAACATCTCATCAAAACTTCTGAAGAACTTCTACACTAGTCACAACACTTAAGACGCTTCAACGACACTAGTGAAAAGTCGTGACCAATTTGATTCACCAGATTGGGCAGTGGGCACAAATACTTGCCGATCACAATGGCCTGTGGTTGCACTGCATAAAGCGAATCGGTGGAAGTTAGAATTCATAAGTTGACCATTGGGTATAGTCCTAGTCGTCGTTTGGTCCACGAGCTCGTCTTGTAAACAGAAGATTCTGGATTCGAACCCAAGTGGATGCGCACTGCCGATGAGTCCCAAGCACTCAGACGAAAAAGCTGCCCAGTACTCCCTCTTGATTTTCAATGGTTCTCTAACTGAAATCAATCCGTGGCCAAACTTATAACATCATCTGCTTGGTATCTACAAGGCTTAAGAAACATAAATTAGAAAATCAAGTCAACGATATAGAAGTGACAAAACATTATAAACGTTTACTGTAAACCAAATGGCTTCCTGACATTTTTGTTAATATTATTTTAAGTAAACTGATGCCAAAAGTATTTATTTCATTGCCGCCATATTTAAAAAAATGCCAAATGTACATGAAAACGAAACCAAAACCTCTCCACCTATTTCATCATCACTATCATTCACTCAAGGAAAGTTTTCAATGTCCGCTATACAGATTACTTAAAGTATCGGGAATACAAGTGACAAACTATCACATTTAAATAACTTATGCTGACAATAGTTAGATAAGAGATTGAAAAGGATCAGCTTTTTGGTGCAGTTTTAGGCACCAGATAAAGGATAACTCTGGTGTGAATTTATTTAACGTCTTTTTTCGCATAATATCTTTCTTTCAAAGTGAAAATAAACATTGATATCCATCCCTTAGCTTAACTTGATTTTTGTCTCCTGTCATTACAGCTACAAATTTATGCATTTAACAGTGATTTATATCACAATTTTTCGCATGCATCTCATCGTCCAAATGGAATATTAGCCGTCAGTGTCTTTTTCAAAGTAAGTTGAAATCACAACTGTACATTATGTTTGCATTTATTCTTTGTAAACAAACATTTAATATTAGATATATACAAGGTGTTGAATAATCATGATTTCTCACTTTATGTGTCAAATTATTTAATCGTACAGATAAAATTGAAATACGTGTCAAGAACAGTAAATCACGCGGTAAAGTATTTACATTATTTAATATTTTGTTATCACCTTACACAGGTAAGTAGACGCACTTCATGTTAAGGTCGTTCCAATGATCTTATAATCGTTCAAAACTATATTATTATTATTTCCTTTAATTCCTAGAGGAACATAAGGCTTCAGCTGCGCGTCTCCATTGCGTTCGGTTTTCTGCCAACATTTTCGCCCCGCTCCAAGTCTGACCACATGCTTTCATCTCCTCTTCACATGGCCTCCTCCAAGTAACCCTTGCACTGACGACCAACTCGCCGCTTCCCTTTCGAGTTCCACTCGAGCGATGGCTTGTCTAGTGATGTCACTTGATGGTTTCCACAGAGTATGGCCAATCCATTTCCATTTCTTCCTGCATATTTGTTTCACAATCGGTTCCTGCTCGGTTCGCTTATTGCCAGAGATCCGTGTTGCTGATCATTTCTGGCCATCTGATCTTGAGTATTGAGCGAAGATGACTCTTAATGAAGGTCTTTAGTTTGTTTTTATGACGCGCCAAGTCTCTCGTCCGTATAGTAGCACTGAGTGACTTCACACTGGAATTGAAAATCCGGATCTTATTTTCATTTTCACGCTGAGTGCTGTTGACCTCCGCACTGACTTGAGAGTAATGAAAACTTGTCTTGATTTTATTATTATTATTATTATTATTATTATTAGAATTATTTCACTAGGTTCCGAGTGGAATATGGAGCTGCCGAAACAACACCTCCGCTTTGTTCTGTTCTTTGCAGTTCTCTCTAGCTGGCACTAAGACTGCCCATAGTCTCTTATCCCCTTCTTCTCCCCCTCCTCACAAGATCTCCATGTCACCCTCGGACTGACCCCCAATTCGTCGTTTCTTATTCGGGTTCCACTGAAGCCACGCTTGGCACGCGATGTCATCTAGCGATCTCTTCAGAGTGTGTCCGATTCATCTGCATTCTCTTCAGGATATTCATTGAAAATCGGCATGATGCAAATGCTTTCGGTGACGTGCCAAGTCCTTAAGCAAAACAGAAGAAGTGACTGACTTAACAGTGGTGTTTAAAACTCAAGTGGTTTTCCTTATGTTGTGTTCAGCAGATTTTCACACTGATTTCCGATCCTGTCTATGTTGCCTTCATCCGAGTAGACCGTCGGTGAAATCCTACTTCCCAGATAAGTGAGAGAAGCGACCCACTGTCAGTGATCAGTGCTGGTTGCTTATCTTCACCATCAGTGTCCTCTCGAAGTTAACTTAAGGCTCCGTCTCCACTGTTTTCTGCTACAAAACTATATATATATAAGCCTTCGTTACTCTAATTTTGATGAATTTCCCTGAAGCAGTTTGTTGAACGAAACGCTGGAATTATTTATTTGAATTTCGATGAGACTTTATAAGTATAATTTTTACTTAAGTCAACGTAAATTTTCTAAAACTTTACGAAACATTTATTGACATTTTTTGGCCTATTTGTGACCATCCCTAAAAAGGTTTTCTGGTTCTTTAATGGAAATGCCACTCAACGACCCCGTTAACACCTATGTTGTTCGATATGGAGCAAATTCAACGTATCTGAGAGTCTGTGGTACTGTTCATGTGACTAGACCAGGATACATAGAGAGGAGTTTCAACCCGAAATTCATCGGTCAAGCTTGTCTCTTAAGGCAGTTTAACCATATTTCAGTGTCTATATGAAGGGTGAGATAAAAGAACATACGTATAGTCTTCTTTTTCGACTTCAATCTGAGCTATAAAATAAAAAACGGCCAGTTAAATAATACCTGCAAATTACCATAATATATCACCGTCAGATAATCATTCAGTTAACAATTTGCCTTTAGGCCTATATATCAAAGATTATATTAAACTAACATCCGCATTCCATGAGGACCGGAGAAGCTGAAATCCAGAAAGCAAAGTGGTTTCTCTGGAAAGGACCAGGCAAAGAGTTTTCGGGAGATTCTATGACCATGAACTAAGTGTCTAGGTCATAAAAACGTACTGCTCGACTTAATTTCAACAAATAATTTCTTTCGCTGCTCACTCAGTCATATGGGCCGGTAATAACAAAAAAGGCTGTGATACAAGTGAATGCATTTAAGCAGTTTCCAATTACTCACCCTGTGGTTGTAGTTCAGAAGTAAGTGCTGCATTTCGTCTGAAGCTGTTGAGTTTGCTACAGAAAGTAAAATGCTCAGTTTCAGCTTGTTTCATTAGAAGGCGACAGTAACCCTTAAGTAGGGAAGGTGTTAGTTGGAAAAGCATCCTTAAGTTATTTACAAAGTCCCATATTCACGAATAGACAGTGATAGTCGTCTCTCACAATTTTGTTCAGATTTTCATTTGTACCTTATCCAGTACTAACTGAAAACCCTTACAAAGTGACGTATAAAAAGTGATATATATATATATGAAGTGATGTATAGAAAGGTAACCTTGCATAAGAGTCCATCAATCAAAGTTGCTACACTTTGGAAAAGCACATGAAGTAGGGAAACAAATGTAGTAAAACTACTAAGGATGGGTGAGATAGGAATTAGATAAAGAATGTTGAATTGTTTCAGAGTCTAAGAAGCCATATTTAGTCTACCGTAGGAGGCAGTCAACAACTTGTATTCAAAGGTTAGTAGTGATCAGTAGGTCTTTTTGCCCTACATAGCCGCTTAACTCTAGAAGACTGAATAACTGCATCATCAAAGTCTAGAATGCTTAGAAGATCATTAGCCCTTCATTATTACTAATTTGCGTGATATTCTATACTTTTACATTAGCTAACTTGCTACTAATTCCCTTTTAATGTAGGCGCCCAAAATACAGAAGCTTGAATCGCCTTGGTTGGAACTGCTGAATGTCTGAAAAATGAATGACACATTCACCGTTTTCTCTGTGACATTTAGGTGTTCTTTATGAGTTACTTTCGCAGGTGGAAATCACATATTAGAATAATCTTTAAAATTCTCCCTTCATCTCGATTAAAATAAAATCTACCCTGATGAATAACAGCTAAAGAATAAATAGCGATGATAATTAATGTTTTCAATCTCACAAACCAATTATTTCTCTTTTTGTGTTCCATAGATTGGAAATATGACAAACAAAGATCTACTGGGTGTTGTGGCTGCAGCTGAGCAAACAATTTTTAAAGGTAACTTTTTTGTAGTATTCTAAGGCTATGCAGCATAGGAGAAGTGATTTGATGAGTGAATTTTCTTTCTTTCTGTCTACAAAACACATTTTCTTTGTTATTTTTCCATCTGCTTAAATGTTAACTGGTAAAACAGACATTTGTTTATAACTGTTATTAGTCAGTATCGTGAATATTTTTCTATACACACTACATAAACACTTCATTTTCAGCTGTCTAAGCACCTATAAGGCAATTCAGAACTAAGTATATCTTACTTAAGCATTTTTAAGCTTGCATTTACTAGATTGACAAAGTTATAAGTGGTAATATAACAAAAAAGGTTAAGCATAATATATTCATATATATATATATATGTGTGTGTAATAGATGGTTGGAGGCAGATAGAATGAAGCCTTTCACCTACCTTACGTGTTAGCTGACAGTCGTCAGTCAGAAAGGCGTATCCGCAATCTTCGAGGAACTCAGATTCCTCTTTATATTCTCACCTGTGTCATCCAGTGAGTCCTGTAGTCCTGAAGAGATGTTACTCCTGAGTTATTTAAGCTGGCGGCTGACGTTATGCAGGACTGTATTAGATACTTTGATTGGACACTAGGTAGTGACTAGTGTCTTGCGCCTTGTCCTTTGTGTTAGTGAAGACCGAATTCTATCAGTCAGTGTTTCTAGTGAATTCCTTCAGGGTTGTAGATACTCCTTGCTGACTGTTGTGAGTGTCAACACGCTCGAAATCTGGGTCGAAGGCTTCTTGCTGATTGCCTCCAACTACCTAATTACTGAAGTGCATCATGATGACGAGTCGTGAGGAAAATGCAAGTAAATAGCCTGTCCATTTTGTCGTATCTGAATTCTAAAGGTATTATTACCATTCGCCTATTTTCCAAGCGGAATATAATAAATCGATATTTCAATCTGTTCTCAGCAGTCTTTTTCAGCTGAATCTATAATTGCCTGTAAGTTCTCATCTCTTCACACAAACTCCTTCATGTCACCCTCGGACTCACAGCCAACTCGTCGTTTCGCAATCAGGTTCAACTCGAGGACCAGACATATGACGTCACTCGATTGTGTTCTCAGCATATTTCTACTCCAGTCCACTCTTCATTCACAGCTGCATATTTCCCGGGCAGTACAGTCTTGGTTTATTCGTTCCTAGAGCTCCGTGCTGCTCATTCCTTCTGGCTTTCTGATCTTCAGGATGAAGCTGGTGATATAAGCCTGCATGAGACTGTTGAAAACGCTTTTCATGACGTCCAAAGTTTGTAGCGCAATATAAAACAACTGAGTGACTGATCTAAAATTGGTGCTGAAAACCCGAATTTTGTTCTAAAGTCTGGATGCAAAAAATTGTCGAACTGACTTCACTGATTTTGATATCCTGATTTGTGCTGTAGCCTGTCGTTGAAACGATGTCACTTAGATAAGTGAAGGAAGTGACCTTCAGCATCGAGAGAAATTTCAAGGTGCTGTTACCTTATAAGATGTTCATATGGAATTTGTGTCTAAGTTAAATTTTAAGATCAGATTATTGAGAAGGATGGTTTCAACGGTGCTCATCATAAATATAGTAATGTGAAACACTTTGAGATTCTTAAACAAGGGCATCATGTAACATCACATTATACAGAAAAAGGCCCATCAAAAAAGAAAATACACTTATTCTCCATCTTCTTAGTTCTTAAGATACTCTATGTCTGGTTACAGAATTTTGTCATGAGCTGAGGCCGGTTAGAGAACCATTGGAAAATCTGGGAGTCCTAGACGGCTATTTCATCCTAGTTTGGGGCTCAAGACAGTACGCACCCCCATCATAACCAGAAAGTCCTGGGTTCAAACCTTGTCGTTGGGTGCGTACTCCTGCAGAGTCCAAAACTAGGACGAAACAGTTGTCCAGTACTTTCAGGTTTTCCAGTGGTTCTCTAACTGGTGTCAGCTCATGATGAAATCGTGTAATCAGTCAATAAAATCCCTACAAAATAATACTTGAAAATACTTTATATTTGTTCATTAACTGGTGATTTCATTTCCCCTGTTCTACTTTATTTCACATATACATCACTTTTATTCTACCATATTCAGTCTCCAACAGCTACATATTTTAAGAGATCACATAGATCAGACAGTCAAGAAGTCAACAAGTACTGTACTCTCACTTTATTCGTTATATCTTCTATAATCAGTTAATAAAATATCCTATCTGTCGTTGGTTATGCCTGTAGATTATATTTACGAGCCGAAAACAAACATTCTATGATGTCACCTTAAAAAATTTGTGAATTCCAAAATTAAAACTACTAAGTGTCATAAAAGTAATACAGGCAAGTTGATGTCAAATAATATTTACTGTTGGAATTATCGAAGAAAAACGAATACTGAAAATTTCATTGTAGTCACAGTTATAATTGTACATGAAAGGATGACGAAGGCCTTTTCAGAGGACCATTTTAAATGGAAATGAGTGGATGCTTACAAATGTATAAGTATAGTTAAATCCTCACAGTATTAGCCTAAATAAACTTTATTAATGAACCTAGGTCTTCCAGAAACCTGTATTTTTATAATTGTTTCCTTTAGTTCCTCGAGAAACATAAGACTTCAGCCTCACGTCTCCATTGAGACGTTTTCACTTGGCTATACGTCTGCCCACATGTTTTCATCCCTTGTTCGCATGACCTCCTTCATGTCAGCCTCGCACTGACAACCAAATCGTCACTTCCCGTTCGGGTTCCACTGTAGAGAGAGAGCCTGGCGTGTTATGTCACTTGATGGTTTTCTCAGAGCATCGCCGATCCTCAGAAACCTGTTTTACCTCAAAAATTTAAATTAGATTCGTATATTAGCTGAAGACTCCTCTATATCACATAGTGTTTTCTTGCTGTAAAATTCAACAGACAAAGATTTCAGTCGAAAAAGTTTCCTTACGAAAACTGGTATTTTCTCGGCCACCATATCCACGTATAACTCTGAAAAGATAAAATACCAAATCTCAGAAGAACAGGAATAATCATCTTATATTATCAACACAGGATTGCACTCAAACAAAGTGTCTGTTAAATGAAACTGTAGAATGTGACCCAACTTTTCTTCATCTTACTAGTTAATTATCAGTTGCTTCACTTATTACCGTCATCCAACCATTCATACTGATTATCTTACAACGTTGTGCATCGATGGTTCAGTGGTAGAATGCTCACTAACTATGCACCTGGTCTGGGACTCGATTCCAGGCCGGCTCACACCTTTACATCTCTTAGTTAGTTGTTAGCCCGATAAAGACGACATGTTGGCGATGAGGCAAGCAACCTACCTCGTGAAAAATAAACACCTCAGCTAATGAAACTTTGATGCTCAAGGCTGGAACCCTGTATTCCACACGGAAGGCAAAGGAATTAAATAAAACTTTAAAAAAACTCCACATTATGCATATCTACACAGGTACTTGATTGAATTAAAGTTAGATTTGATGACAAATAGAAATTACTGAAAGAAGCATTGAAAATTAAGGATTACAGGAAAACTATTTTCCTCAAGTTTTGGAAATTGGACAGCGGTGATGGTATACATCGCATTTTGACAAGATTTAAAATTTGTGGTTCACTGGATTCTATTCTATTGGTCTGAATTATCTCATGCTCTTCTTCTAATCTCAAGATTGTTTTTCTAGATATGTGGTGGGGTCCTAAGAAACTCCTACTGAAAAGTCGTCTGTCCAGTGCTTCCTAGTAGTCACTAGTTCTCCATATGATATCGGTTCTTCACTATTTGTTACTGATTAGTATCTGTCCAGACTTTTAAAAACGATTATCTAAGAAGTCATCTCAACATTTATCCCCCCGTCCAATGATTATTTGATAATTTCTAACTTACTGAATAGAGCCGGGGTAGAGTCATCCTTATATATCTATGGTCATATCATTTTTAAGAATATCTTTAGGCTGAACAATAACTTCTGAAGATGCATTTGCATATCACGCGTTTATTATGGCATTCATGAACAGCTGTGCAGGAATAAAATCCCTCCACGAAAGTGTTAGTTAAGCAAGTTTTAACCCATTTTTAGGCTGATAATTTTTGTATAGCCTCATAAGTGCTACTCACCAACCTTTTAAGATTATTTTCTCAATTTGGAACATAAGTGATTAGTAACCTTAAAATTGTAAGATACTCTTAAAAGCTTGTGTCTAGATGTTGAGTGATTCAGATAATATGCCTAACTTGCTGATTATCCTTCATAATGTGTCATTGGTTACAATTAGCCTCGTTTACAGATGACCGATTCGATTAGTCGCTTAATTTACCAATGAAATTCTAAATTTCGTAATTTCAAGGATATTGTTCACATAATTAATGTAATCTGTAATAAATTCCCAGCCTTCAGTAAATGATAAATAAAGCCGACACTTTTTCTTAGCCAGGAAAAACATAAATTCAATTTTATGTTTAATAATACCTATTTCACTTTTCTAATAATGTAGTATATGGTGGGAAAACAACCAGGCTTTTTCTCGAGGTCAAGAACAATTGTAGCTTTGAGAGTACTTAAATCCATTCTGAAAGCAGGGGTTTTTTAGTAAACATTTAAAGCAAAGCCAAATGGCTGATATATACCACCTGAAGTTATACTTATAGTGTTTATGAACTTTATCAAAAATACGTTTTAAAGTATTTTGTGAAATCAGCTACTCATCACATAAATGACAAAGTGACAGTTCACAATGTTTTAACTCAAAAAGTTCTTATATTTAATTCCACGGTAAAAATTAACTCCATTAAATTAAAATATATTTTTGGTATTTATGGTGCCAAGTAAACCTGTTCCTTTTTCGATGATTCTTCCCTCTGAGAAAAAGTTGAACACGGGGGATTGGAAAGCACGTCTGTGCTGTATTCTGTTCACCGCTGTCATTTTCAGCTGGATGCACTACTATCCACAAGCCTTCATTTTGACTTTATAAGATCGCCTTCATATCACCCTTGGACTCACATTCAACTCGTCACTA